TTTATTATTTTCCAGCTTGCCACAACTGACGATCAATGGAAACATTATAATATATAGAATCTAGATATCTGAATTAAACTTCTTTTTTTGTAAATGGCAAATTACCCTCAGTATTATTATCGGTACCGGGTTGGCTACCTCAGTTTTCTGTGCATTTTTAAAACTTTTGTACGATGGTTTATTTTTTTTTTTCATGGAACTGGTCTGTTCCTAAATGGGAAAAGTTGTCACAGTAACTTATTAAAATCACTATACTTTCACGATCTCTTGTTCTTTCATTCACTTAAGAAGAAATAAACCACATTTGTTCCTACTAGTACAGGGGTATGAGCTTGAATGCCCCCCCCCCTTTTCTATTCCTACCACCTCTTTTATTTGATGCCTTAGAGTAATGATGTGGACACAAGCACTCATAGAATGTCATGTTTTCTGTTCAAAGACATTTTAACAGATAAACTCACTAAAAAGACCTACACACACACCAAAAAAATCTCTTAAGCCAATAAGCATTGCACTCATACAAATTCAGTCAGTAAGCATAATGAAAACTAAAAAATCAGTAACAAAAAGATGAATTAAGAGAAGACAATTACCTTATATGGTCTTTCCCCAGTGTGTGACCTCATGTGTCTCTTCAGCTTGGAGAGTTCCACACTAGCGTAGTCACATTTCGGACAGCGATGTGGTTTCTCAAAGGTATGTCTGTAGCGAATGTGACGGACCAGCTCCCCTGATGTTGTAAATGCTGCATCACACGTCTGCAAAATATAAGAAAACTCTGTTAGATAACAACCTGTCATGCATCCCATCCAACACCAAAGAATCGAATGGTTCGGACATCTCATGCGATTACCAACACACTATCCAGCACAATGTGGGTACATAAAAAAATTCGATGGCAATAAGGCTAGAGGGCGACAGAGAAAGACCTGGATAGATGGAGTCAGAGAAACACTAACAACTCATGGCATCCCCCTGACCGAATCTCTCTGGCCGGTAGCAGAGAGACGTCTCTTTCTTCCCACCCAAAAGGAAATAAGCGGCGGATAAAAGTAAAAGTTAGGTAAAGATAACAACCTTCTTTTCAATCCCTATCATGCATGAAGTGAACATGGCAGCATCCACGCAACCAACAGCAGTAGAAAAGAAGCTTGTGGGTGGTTGGCGGGTGCTCTGGGTTGGTTTGCTCCTTCTTTCCCATCAAACGTCTTTCGTCCGGATCTGTCCTCCTTCTTTTTTATGTTTATTACTCTCTTGTAACACCTCTAATCTTCGGTACTTATATGACCTTATTGTGTTGCAAGTGCCGTAAAACTCTTGCTAAAACTAAGAAAAGTAGCTTTTACAACCATATTCTTAGACAACAATATAAATGTACATATCTAGAACCCATCCCCCCTCCCCCCTCCCCCCCAAAAAACCCCAAACCTGTAGGTACATGGAGCACATCAATGGTTGGTCTTAGTTTATTTCCCTTCAGCAGTTTCCGTCTAGCTTTTTTAAAAACCTCTAAATGACCATTATTGAGCTCATGTACATTCTTTTTACTGCTATACGCTGACAAAACGCCTTTTCCTTATTCACAGCAGTTTTGAGATTTTAAAAAAGGCATTTTGTAATGTAACCATTTTAAAAAGACCTTCCGAAATTTGAATTCTAATTTATTAAAAGATGTATTTATTAAAAGACCTTCTTCCGAAATTTGAATTCTAATTTATTAAAAGATGTATTTATTAAAAGACCTTCTTCCGAAATTTGAATTCTAATTTATTTTTAAAATTAGTCACAGTTCACTTTGATTTTTTTGCACAAGTAGGGTACCAGAGGATCAAGCTATCGATTTTGTAAATTCAAAGAATCCTGGGCCAAAAATGAAAAAAAGGCATTTTGTCAGCTTATGATAGTTAACTCATAAAAATTCAAAGGGACCATCATATAAGGCAACCACTAGTCTGCTGGGACATTTCACTAACCCACTTTAGGCACTTTTCAAGGACCCCCGAGCAACCGTTGAGTTCCTGCGTGCTGTCGGCATCGCTGACCGTTTATGATGCCACAGCGCCAGAAGAAAGAGAGAGAGAGAGAGAGAGAGAGAGAGAGAAAAAGAGAGGGAGAGGGAGAGAGAGAGAGAGCGGGAGAGGGAGTGAGAGAGAGAGAGAGAGAGAGAGAGGGAGGGAGAGACAGAGTGAGAGAGAGAGAGACAGACAGAAAGAGAGAGAGAGAGAGAAAGAGAGAGAGAGAGAGAGAAAGAGAGAGAGATACAGAGAGAGAGGGAGAGAGAAAGAGATAGAAGGCAAGCCATGCACAACATACTTTACACTTGTGCGGGCGAGTCCCCGTGTGGGTGTTCACGTGGTTCAACAAGGATGCCGGGGTCTTGAAGCCGCGGTTACACTCGGAGCACTTGTGAGGCCGCTCCTCCGAGTGAGACTTCATGTGGCGGGTAAGGAGGTAGCGCTTGGGGCTGGTGTAGCTGCAGTAGTCGCACATCAACTGGGGACCCAGCGGGCTCACGTATTTCTTGGGCACCATGCGCAGCACCCGCTTCATCTCTCCGTTGATCTCGACAACTTCCTCCGACAGCTCCTGAGTCTCTTGCTGAAACAAAAAAAACCAAAACAAATGAAACTTGAAGAAACAATAAAACAAAACAAATGGAACTTGAAGAAAGAATAAAACAAAACAAATGGAACTTGAAGAAATATTATAGAGTAAAATCATAACTTGTTTTGGATCACTGATGAGACATTTAGAAAGTTAGAAAGGGCAAAAACCAATACATACTTAAAAATCCAAACCATGTATTTTAACGTACGCATGTACTGAGTCAAGCGACCAGATGTCCTTGTAAACAGGATTTCTTTTGTGTGAACAAAAGTTTACTGAAATTCTCCCTCCCAACAGCTTATAAGTCATTTTGACAGCTGCACTGTGCAACCCCCCGGTTCATTTCTGATAAAAAAAAATATTTTCAAATCAGTGTATGAAATGGTAGGAGTTTGTAGAATAATTAGTAACTGTACACAATTCACACACTTTGGCCATGTCTTGACAAGATCATCTTTCTCTATTGACTATCATCTTGACTTCAGGCCTGCCAACTATTTCAAAACCCAATCAAGGACACCTAACATTATGACATAAGCTTACATAACAAAGTCTACATCAAACGGAACTGGTAATGGAAAGTGATGAAGTAACGGTCACCAGTATAATTCCCGACTGCTGAATCTGGGACATTCCCAGGAAATCCAGGACAGTTGGCAAGCCTGTAACAATATCTTCCTGATTCTGTGTACGGTATAACAAACAAACAAGGTCTACAGAAGTCAACAACTTAGTCCTTGACAGACAAATGTGATCTAACACCTACTGAAGAGGAATGAAGGAGAAATTACTTATTTAACCCGATCCCTACGCCCTGAGGTCATTTTGTACCCCCGGGGTTGTATTCTCCACATTTTAGAATACTTCTAGTGCGAAGAACTCTTTGAAACTTTCAGTATTTCTCCAAAAAATTACTAATCAAAGCCTACGGATCATTTTAACGAGTAAATTTCCTCTTTGGAAAGTGGTAGCACAGAGTTCCCCACGTCGTATGGATACGATAGTAAAACATGACGTACGAATAGAGTTAAAATACATCTATCACTTAACTTTCTAAAGTACCAGTTCATGAAACATTTCAAATTCGAGTATATACATATATACAGATAACTTCTAATGCTGACCTTAAGGTCAAGGACCTGGGAGTTGATGGGTGAGGACATGTCCTTGTCACCGCCGTCTGTCGGAGCCATGATGAGAACATAGTTCATGTCACCGGTCTGGTTCAGCTCCGAGGGCATGATGGTGATGGTCTGGTAGCCCAGCTCTCCTCCCAGGCTCTCCGTGGGCAGCAAACCCGACATCTGAGGAATACAGACAGAAGAGTGAGCGCTCAAAGTCATGGAACTGAAATGTGAGTGCTCAAAGTAATGGAACTGTAGTGTCAGCGCTCAAAGTAATGAAACAGCAGTGTGAGCGCTCAAAGTCATGGAACTGGGGTGTGACCGCTCAAAGTCATGGAACTGCAGTGTGAGCGCTGAGCTCAAAGTCATGGAACTGCAGTGTAAGCGCTCAAAGTCATGGAACTGTAGTGTGAGCAGCTTAAAGTCATGGAACTGTAGTGTGAGGGCTCAAAGTAATGGAACTGTAGTGTGAGCAGCTTAAAGTCATGGAACTGTAGTGTAAGCAGCTTAAAGTCATGGAACTGCAGTGTAAGCGCTCAAAGTCATGGAACTGTAGTGTGAGCAGCTTAAAGTCATGGAACTGCAGTGTGAGCGCTGAGCTCAAAGTCATGGAACTGCGGTGTGAGTGCTCAAAGTCATGGAACTGCAGTGGAATCCTCTGAAACCAAAGTCTCCGGAATCGGAGTATTTTGTTTGGTTTAAACCAGTGTTCGGTTTAGAGAGGTAGCTCAAATATAAAGAAAAAAAATTGGGGATTTTATTTTTATTCGGTTTAGTGCTGTTTTAAGATTAACCATGATCGGTTGAAGCAGATGTGGTATAATCAATCAGCCAACCTGACATTGTATTAGACATCTACAACTGGTTGTACTACTCGAATAAATCTGACTTGGGGTTGGCCTCCTGAAAATGATGGCTGCACGTTTCTTTATTCCTTAGTACGGACTGTGCTTTGTAAGTGTCCTAAGTTACCCCGTGTGGCCTAAGTAGCCCCGGTTGACAGTGGGTAAAACACCACAGTGAACTCCACTTTATTTAAACAAAAAGATCTCTTTTGTCCGAATTACAGGGAGGATGTGACACAAAGATGTCAAACGCTTGTACGTAACTCACACTGGTCACACATTACAATACAATCACAATTATTACAATATGAAAGACACCACACAGAAAATATGTAACAAATAAACACATTGTTTAATTCTAAATTGTTATATAGTTCACACCTCACATTCAATACGTTTTCTTTGAGTTTATCACTTGGCATCATATTTTGGGGAAAATCCAAAGAAACTGGGTGGTCAACATCGCCAATCGGCGAGATGAGGTAAAGTGTTAAAGGAAAGTGCAAGACAATAACTACATTCATATATAATCTTGAACTTAAAATCAAACCCTAGAAATTTACATTTCGATTTCAAATTCAGAAGACACATGCATAATAATAATATGTATACCTGCAGAGCCTCTGGCGTTAGAGCAGTGGCCCCCTGCGACAAAGAGACGAGTCTGGTCTGCGCACCGTCACCCGCACCAGGCAGAGAGAAGAGCTGGGCGGCTCCCCGTGACTCCGGCTGACTGACCGCCGCCACCATGACACCCCCGAGGCCACCGTCCATAACCAGGCCACTCGCTGAGCTAGACGGGGTACCCGCCAGAGTGCTCAGCAAGGACGAGCCAGCAGAGCTTGTGCCCACACTGACGGAATCCGTCTGGCAAACAGAAAAATCACCACAATTAGCGTTATAGACACTTGCCCCCCCCCCCCCCCTTTTTTTTTTCATTCTAAACCAATTTGACAACCTGGCTGATAAGGTGAGGTTAATCTTTTTGTTTTGTTGCACAAGAAAAGTTTGGCACGAGGGAGGGAAAGACCCAACTTCAGTCACAGAACGGAAAATCAACGAAAACTTTGTTGGAAACCAAATAAATGTTTGTTCCTTGTTAAAAAAGGTATTAGGGAAATTTCTTTTCATTTAAGTTTGCAACTGAGTTGTGCCCGAGTTCCGTAATAATTAGAACAAAGTTCAAAGATCAGGCGATGATAAAGAGTTTATTCCAGAGTAACTTTCATGCATTGTGCACTGCACTTTTTCGGTAAGGAAATATCAGAATTAAAGTTAATCTTTATTGAGTGAAGCGGCAAGTTTTCCCACGGGATCAAAGTCTTTAGTTTTAGTTAGAGTTTTACAACACTTGCAACACAATAAGGTCATATATAAGTGCCAAAGATTAGAGGTGTTACAAGAGAGTAACAAACACAAGAAAGAATGAGGTGAAGGACGACAGAAGTTTGATAGGAAAGGAGGAGCAAACCACACCAGAGCACCTGCCAACCACCCACGATCAAACTTTCCCAAATGAAAATGTAAGCGTACTCAGTGGACATTCTATGCTACAGCAAAAGACAACCTACCCCTTGAATACCCAGAGATGCGTCTGTGGAGCTCAGCGTGTCAGACGATATGCCCAGGTCCTCCTGACTCAAGATCCGCATCTGTTGCCCATCAGCCATAGACAAAAACTGACCGTCTTCTCCCAGAGACACGATTCGGATGACCTTGCCAGCTCCAGGGTCAAGGTTGTCGCCCAAAGATGTCATTATTAGACCCTAGAAGAGACATTGTTAATTAGTATAAATAACTATGGACAGAATTTGGGGGGGGGGCTAACTTCTGTGATATAATCTTAGATCTTTTACATTTTGAGAAAATGATTTACCCGAGATGAAGCTTGGGTGTACCTCCTCTAGTTTAAAAAAAAAATCCAATCTCTTTCTGTAGAGAAAACAAGGCAAAATTTCTTGTCATAAACTCCAAGAATTTGAGCATCAACTTCCTAAATTAAAAAATACAAACCAGGAAACATTTGTGAACGTGCATTAAGACCAAACCGTTTTACTTTAATAATAATAATAAATAGCATTTGTATAGCGCATGTAGCCACTCGAAAGCAAGCTCTATGCACTTTACACTATATTATTACCCTAGCAGACCATAGAACACTCAGAAACATTCTCAGCTTCCCGGGAAGCATACAGTGCAAGCAGCCGGTTAAGCGCTCAAACACTAACAAACTGACAAGATCTTTCACTGTCTAAAGCCGGGTACCCATTTTCACCTAGGTGAAGTGGGGAAAATAGTGTAAAGTGCCTTTTCCAAGGACACAACGTCAGGCCTGCGGCTTTAACCCCGAACCCGCAACCTCACGATTACGAGTCAGGTAGCCTAACCACAAGGCCACCGACTTTATACAAATCATTAAAGTTATTCAAATTTACAAGTCGCCTTGGAAATTCTAAAATTGGTGTTGCATGCATACAAAAATAAGCAAACTGGTCATGGGTCGGGGAGGAGAGGTTATACAGTTGGTGATTTTTAAAAAGTCACCTGAGACATGGCTCCAGCCTGTACATCCAGTGGCCCTTGTGATAACTGAGTGTCACCAAACCCCGCAATCTGAGCCTGCACCGCGTCCATCTCCATGGCACCTACTTCCTGTTTGATTGCGGCTGAAATGTCTGCGTCACCCTCTGCCCCGCCAACCAAGCTCTGCATCTGCTGCGCAGACTCGTCAGCAAGGGTGCTGTCCAGAATACCTGTTTTCAAATTGCACAAAGTCAAGTCTTAATATGTTTATGGTGTCCTTAACACTTTGTCGTCACATCTCGCCGATTGGCAAGAATGGCGAACTTCCGCTCCCGTCACTCAAAGCTGATCGGTGTTGTTTACCATTCAGTTTCTTTGGATTTCCCCAAAAATACTAGTGATGGCAAGGGCTTTTACAGTAGGAGCCTTGTGATGGCAAAGTGTTAATTTACTGCATACAGAAAAGACACGAGGTTCATCAAAATAACATAAATTTCATGTATAGACGTTTCTGCTTTCAACCAACAGTAGCTTGTTTTCCCATTGACATGAGGCATCCTTGCAAGAGAAATGGGCAGATGAAAGGGAAGGGTTAAAAGTTATGAATAGATTCGGGTAGGGAGGAGAGGAGGAATTTGTTTGCGAGGCGGTGAATGCATTTGTGTTACCCATAGTCTGAACTTGTATGATTTATAAATGTGAGGCGAGCTGACAAAATGAGTCACTTCTCGCAATCCACAAATAGAGACATTGGCCAAAAATCGACACTTGGGTGAAATTTGTAGATTTTCTATTGATGCTGTATTCTTAAAGTACAAAATGCCTTTTATCATTTCATACTTATAAATTGTAAAAACTTCACCTATAAGTATGATGGATCAATTTCCATAAGATAAAATCCGAGAATAGCTCATTTTGTCAGCACGCTTCACAAATGCACGTCCGTTCTGAGTGACATGAAAATAAACAGTAAAAGAGGTACTCTTGAGATAATTTACTTGCACTAATAGAGGACTCGTGTCTGCTGAATCTGTGTTTACTGAGATGTACTGCACCTTGCTCTGAGTAGAAGCCAGATGAAAACTGTCCAGAGACGCCAGGCTCCCCGGCCTCCTGCAGGGAACTCCCGCTGGTTGGGTTATAGAGGTCGCCCACCTCCCCATCCACATCCATGGAGGACAGCACGTCATCGCCCGACTCGATTTCTTTGTTGAAAGTGACCAGATAGTTCTGTAGATCATGGAGGTTCTGGCCCTGTGAGGGACAACCGTTGTCTTCTTCGGGCTCCATGACTCCAAACTAAAATTGACCTGAAATACAGTTATATGGGGGGAAAAATTATATGACTGGTTTTATTAATGAGTTTGCACGATAAAGGTATTATATTATATAATATCATCACTGTTAAAATTAATCTTTATCATATCTATATGTATTTATAGGCTGCTTCCATTCTGCACATCAGGGACAACCAGACAGGAATATGTCCCAGCAAACAGGCAGGATTTAAGCTGAGGACTTCACAGAGCATTTTTCGAAAACGACTTTGAACTAAAATCAGGTCTTTTTGCGTTCAAGTTAGGTCGTCTGTTTTCAAACAGACAAACTTACTCGACAGTATCAAAGAGATTCATTACTACTAGAAGACGGTTCTACTAAAAAGTGTCCAAGTCTTAATTTTTTAGTAAGGTTTTACAGCGCTTGCAACTGCATAAGGTCATATATATGAGTGGAGTGTTCAAGTCTGCACCCACTCCAGATGGAGCCCTGTTGCTGTTCTGGAACTTTCTTTCATTTTTCTCATACTGTGATATCAGTCTTCAGTTCAGCTGAGTTTTTATCAATTTTTCTTTTCAATATGGCCCCTAAAGTCCAATTGATAATAATATATTGAAAAGATTACCCCCTCCCCCAAAACGAAAGACATTCATAGCTTAACATTATTATATAAATTGCTTTTATATTAAACCGTTAATATATATTCTATGCACGTGACTGACAGTAAGCCTGCGTAGTGCGGGTGTGTGCATGTTTGTGTGTGTGCGTGTGTGTATGTGTGAGTGTATTGTGTACGGGGTGAAACACCAAACCAATGTGCCAGGATCTGGACAGTCACAATAAGATGCACCTGATCTTATCTTATCTTATAAGATGGTGCATTCGTTTTTTTTTGGGGGGGGGGGGGTTTTCCTCACTTTTATCAAGTCACGTATCTCTGCCTGCGAGTGTATCATCATGGATCACATCTGCATTCTTTCTCAATATTTTGGAGGGTAATACTAGCCTTCAGCTTGAGACTTTTAAATCTTTTTTGGGGGGCGAAAATGCTATAATGTATGCATAATTTCCAAATTAAAACTGGCTTTGACAGAACAGTGAATAGACAGGCTTTGACTTGCTACAGTTAGTCCCTTTGTGACGCAAGTAGTTGTTATTTAACTTTTACAGTGCCCGCTTTATGCAGTTGAGGTGAGTAGTTTCAGTTAATTTTTAAATTTATTTATAAATAATAAAATAATTTAGAAAGATTTACACGACAGATAACATTTTCGTTTATAAAACCGTAATTTCGATCAGATTTTTAGGAAGTAGGCCTACATTACGATCATAGATCTATAGATGGGATGGAGGCATCTTTGCTCAAGGACAAGATGTTCCATACTCATACAAACATGATGTATTCTGCAAAAGGGGTCTTACAAAAAAAATTGGGGGGGTTGACTTGTTCAACTTCAACCACTGTGAGATGTATTTTTAGTAAATCCAGCTATACTATAGAATCCCCATCTATGGCTAAGGACACTGTACCAGGCCTCATCATTCAAGGAAGAAAAAATTGCCACAGGACCAGGTGCAGTAATGAGTAATCTAGAATCTAGCATAGAACAAGAAGGAAGTCTACGCTAGCAACAGCACTGTTCTGAAATTGTGTAGACTTCTATAGAGATCTAGGAGTGCCCTGTTCTGTACAATAGTTTCTAACAGAAGACGTTTGACCTATTGACTGACATATTACAGAGTGTGTCCAGCAGTAGATTACTAGATCTAGAACTCAGTGGATAGAGGCCTAATCCTAATGGGACAGTGTTATGAAGTGAGTAAAACGCTATTGAATGTTAGGAATGGCGTACATTGACAACTTGAACAAAAATGAATGGGGTAAAGAAAGGGTCTCTTCGCCATTTTGAATTGCGTTCAGGCGTTCTTCTCGATCAGAAATAAGGCCATTGAACCTCTTATAATCTACAGTGTACATTTCTTGTTCGAATTACGACCGCAGCATGTACAAGACCATCGAATGAGTACGCAAAGGTACACAATCAGAGCACAAAAGATTACGAGCCACCGCTAGGGGTGTCGTTCGCTTCAAGCGCCCTCATCCACAGCCAAGCGCCCCCTGTCCTGCCGTGTTGCCTACGAGACGACGCGACCGCTCGCTCATTGTCCGTTGGTCCCCGAGTCTCGCCCTTTATAGATTAAATATAGGCATATAGTCAAGAAAGAGCTTAACACATACCTGAACTTTGATTTACCGTGTCCATTTACACGGAATATTGTTGGTTTCGATAAAGCGGCCGTGGTGTAACCTGTAAGCATCAACCGGACAATGCACAAATAATTCAAGATGGCGGACGAAGACTAGGCCTACGTGAATGAATCTTGAGTAGGCAAGAGAACACCCCAGTGTTCGCTAAGACAAAATTTTGTCAAATAGTTTTAGTTACTCATAATAAACGTTCACAAGCATACTATAAACTGAAAACAACTATAAATGCAAAACTTCTGTTTGATCTAGAGAATAAAGTTGGTAAAGCATTATACTTTTACCACAAGGGGGCGCTTATGCCGTGAGAAAACTGCGATGGGCATGCGCCATGACCCAAGGGCGTGGTCTGAAAAAATGTAAACATAAACATTGTGCTGCTGTCACGTGGGAAAGATCACCCTGGTATGATTGACGGAAAAGTGTCCCCACTGCAGTCAGTTTGTTCAGAGCTAAAAGCGGATCAAATTCCCGCAACAACAAAAAATAGTGTTTGCTTATTTGATTTTAATACCTTTTACTTCAAACATGGTTTGTTCTTATTCTTTCCGTGACTCGTCCTTTTTCTCACGGTTACCTCCCTTTTTTTCTTTTTGTCAGTTTACGCAAAATAAATAAATGACATGATGTCTGTTCCATATTATTAGATCTATATTATTATTATTATGTTATTGATGGCGCAAATGAACTTCCTTTTTCGAGCTGGTGTGGGGCTTGATTTGCCAGGTAGTAATGTTTTTCCCCAGGCAGGCTAGTAAATTTTTTCAGGAAATATTGCTGGACACCCTGCAGTTTACACAAAATAAATGACATGATGTCTGTTTTCCCATCAATACCCCACTGCGTCGCTGTACATTAAATTACATTGCAGTCATCTTCTCATCAGTCCTACATTTCATCACTATTCTTATCAAGCCAGGCTACACTTCACTACAAACAATTAAAGCATTGACAGAGGTTCCTTTTTTTTCAAGAAATAAATGTGTTTTGAACTGTGTGAAGAATGACATGTATATATTGAGAGGTTTGTTTGTTGTTGTTGTTGTTTTTTTTTGGGGGGGGG